GTGCCATCCTCACAATTGCTATGTTTGATCCCATTGTTCGGAGCCAACGTCAGTCTGTCTCCTTGACAGTCATCCTCTTTTTTGCTGACTCTTCACTTTACCAAACATGGTGTTCTTTTCCAGGAACTGATTTTTCCTAATAACCTGTCCAAAGTACATAAACTGAAATCTCGCCATCCTAGCTTCTAAGGTTAAACTTCTTACAAGACATTTTTTTTCCTTTTAAATCATTTTTGGGGGGCTCATACAACTCATCACAATCCATACATACATCAGTTATATACAGCACATTTGTGCATTCACTACGCTCATCATTCTCAAAACATTTGCTCTCCACGTAAGCCCCTGGCATCAGCTCCTCCTTTTTTCCCCCTCCCTCCCCGCTCCCCCTCCCTCGTGAACCCTTGGTAATTTATAAATTATTATTTTGTCATATCTTACACTGTCTGATGACAAGACAGATTTTCATGGTCAATAAAATACAAGTAGGCATCTTCCTAGTATTCTCTGCTTTCAGCCAAGACCCATCTGTGATGCCCCTCATTCTGTCGTCTTCTGAGTCCGACTGGAATTCCTGGCAGCTCCTTGCTGATGTACTGCTGCAACTATTTTAAAATTATCTTCCACAAACATAATGACTTTGTGAAAGTATATTACTTTAATTTAAAAATTATTTGAATACTTTAATTATTTAAATAATTTTAATTTTAAAATTATCTTCAACAAGGATAATGACTTTGTTGAAGTATGATATTAATGATATTCTTTGACAATTTCCACATTTTGTTAGGTCACCTTATTTTGGAATGGGCACAAATAAGGGTCTCTTCCAGTTGGTTGGCCAGATACCTGTCTTCCAAATTTCTTGGCATAAATGAATGAGTACTTCCAGTGTTGTATTAGTTTGTTAAAATATTTCAGTTGGCATTCTGTCAGTTTCTAGAGCCCTGTTTTTGGTCAATGCTACTTGAACTTCTTCCTTAAATACCATTAGTTCTTTTTATTTTATTTATCTTTAAATTCTTTATTGTGAATTGAGTAGAGGTTTACAGAACAGATAATCCATTTTATATTCAGCAATTCATACATATTTGTTTATCTTATTCATTGCAGCCCATCCATGTACCATAACTTCTCTCACTTCCTCCCTGTGTTTCCTATTTTTGTTCCTAGAATACATTATTGTTTTTGTTTAAACAATCAAATAGCCTTTAAAATAATTTCATTCGCTGCCATTGAATTGATTCCAACTCATAGCGACTCAATAGGACATGGTATAACTGCCTGCCCCTGTAGGTTTCCTGTGATCTTTATGGGAGTAGAAAGTCCCGTGTTTCTCTTGCAGAGCGGTTGGTGGTTTTGAACTGGTGACCTTTCAGTTTGCAACCCAATGCATAACCCACTACACCGCTAGAGCTCCTGTTAAAATAATTTAGATATTATAAATGTTTTATATACTTCCATAGGTAGCTATCATTTCTGGTCTCCTTCATTCGTTTGTTTGAATCCTTATTCCCATCTGCTATCATTTTTTCTCCCTAAGAGAGTTCTTTTATTATTTGCCATAGCGCAGGTCTGCTGAAGATGCATTCTTCCAGCACTTGCATATCTGAAAAACCTTTTATTTGGCCTTTACTCTTTAATTGAGTTGAAGCTCACATACAATAAAATGAACCATTATAAAGTGTACAATTCAGTGATAGTATTTGAAAATTTTGTATGACCACAAACTCTTACCTCGTTCCAAGAATGCTAGACTGAGAGGATTATCATTTCCTTGAAAGAAAACTCCACCCTTTTCTCTTCCCCCCAGCTTCTGGAAGCCATTAGTCTCTGTGTGTCTCTGTGGGGTTTGTCTATTTTGGATACTGCATATAAACTGAGTCATACAACATGTGGCCTTTTGCCTCTGCTTTTTTTTGACTTACAGTAATGTTTGAGGTTCACCCATGTTGTAGCATGTATTGATACTTTGTACCTTTTTATGATTGAGTTGGGTTGAGATACCATAATAGCATAATGATTATTCATAAACTGATGGACCTTGACATGTTTCTACTTTTTGAGGATTGTGCTACTATGAATATTTATGTACAGTATTTGTTTGAGGCTGTTTTCAGTTCTTCTGAGTACCGAGGAGTAAAATGGCCAGACCACAGGATAAGTCTATGTTTAAGTTTTGGGGGATTGTAAATGGTTTTCCACAGCTGTTGCAACATTTTACATATCGTATAAACTCGTGTATAAGCCGAGTTTTTCAGCACTTTTCAATGCAGTTTTTATGGTAAAATTAGGTGCCTCGGCTGATATTCGAGTCGGCTTACACTTGAGTATATATGGTACCCACCAGCAATGTACACGGGTTCAGATTTCTCTATATCCCCTCAAACACTTGTTATCTTCTGTTATTAGTTTTTACAATTATAACCATCCTAGTGGGCGTGAAGTGGGACTTCATCGTGGTTTTATTTTCATTTCCCTAATGACTAATGATGCTGAGCCTCTTTTCTCGTGTTTTCTGGACATTCATCATCTTCACTGAAAGACACTTCTATTGAAGTCATTTTTAACGGTTGGATTTTTGTACTTTTTTGCTCATTTTGAATGTTCTTTATTACTTATACTAGATCCTTCTCAGATACATCATTTGCAAATATTTTCTCTTATTCTTTAGATTGTCTTTTCATTTTTAAAATAATGTCCTTTGATACACAAAAAGTTAAAAAATTTTAAATCATTTTATTGGGGGCTCATATAAACTCTTATCACAATCCATATATATATCAATTGTATAAAGCACAGTTATACATTCGTTACCCTCATCCTCAAAACATTTACTCTGCATGTATGCTCCTGCATCATCGTCTCATTTTCCCCCTCCCTCCCTGCTCCCCCTTTGCTCACGAAAACTTAAAATTTTTTCGAAGTCTGATTTATCTGTGTTCTCGTTTGTTGCTCATGCTTTTGTTCTCATATCTAAAGATCTGTTGTCAAAATCAAGGTCCTGTAGATTTACATTTGTTTTCTTCAAAGAACTGTATAGTTTTAGCTCATATTTGGTTTATTGTTGCTTCACTTTTTATTAATGCTTGTGTATAATATGCATTCAAGCAAACAGAACAAACGTATTGCCATATCTGACTCATATTGACCCTATAGGACAGTATAGAATGGCCCCGGTGGGTTTCCAAGACTATAACTCTTTACTGGGATAGAAAGCTTCACCTTTCTCCTATGGATGGACTGGTCGTTTACCACTGTTGACCTTGCTGTAGTAGCCCACCTTGTAAGGCACTACACCACCAGGGCTCCTCATGGTATGAACTAGAGATACATGTGTATATCCATGTGTCCTACCACCATTTGTTGAAGAGAATATTCCTTCCCCCTTGAATGGTATTACTAGTGCTGCAATCCCAGAAATACCGTAAGTAGATGGCTCTAACAAACAAAAACAAATTTTCTCTCACAGATTAGGAGGCTGAAAGTCTAAATTCAGAGTATCTCTTCTGGGAGAAAGCTTTCTATCCTTTTGACCCTATCCTCTCACCATTTGTAGGCCCAACCTTCCTTAGCCATCACCATGAGTTTCTCCTCGGATCTAGTAGCTTCACCGGGCAGGTCAGAAGGACACACCCCAGCCTTTCTTGGTCAAAGTTAATCCCTCTGATCACTGCTCCCTTCTTTCCTTTGATGTCTTATAAGATAAAAGGTTTTCCAGATCACACCCCAGGGAAACTGCTCCTACATCAGTTCAGGACAGTGATGGATTAAGGATGTTGCATCCTCCCCTTTGAAAACCCACTGCAGTGGAATCAATTCTTTCCCTGTGCAGGGTTCCTGAAGCTGTACATTGTTTTTGAAGCTGTACATTTTTATGGGCGCAGACAGGATCATCTTTCTCCAGGGGAGCAATGGGAGCGTAGAATCACCACCCTTGCTGCCTGGCTAACTGACTGGAGAAGATCTGTTGTGCCCCTTCCAAAGAGAAGTGCCCTAGCAGAATGTGGACATTAGTGAATAATAACATTAATATCACATGCAAGTAAAATTTTGCTGACGATTAGTCCTCAAAGGTTGCAACAATACATTACAGTTTGTAAATTCATGTCTTTGTGTTGTCCAGTGATTGAATCTTATTTTCCTTGTAATTTATTTATTTATTTTTTATTTGAAAACATACTCAGCTATTGGGGGTAGTAATTTTTGAAAATTTATATTTCAACATAAAAAGATAACTAACTGTATTCTAAGAATTTTATGTTCTGGTATTTTAGTTTATTAGTCTTGGTTTGATAATTTGGGTGAAAATATGCATGGTAATACAGTGTGTATATTGTATTTGATTTTTAAAAACCCGCTATATTCTTATTAATGGTTAATTTAATTAATTTATTTTTCTTTGTTTGAGATGAACTTGTTTGTCACTAAAGACTCCTAGTCCCTTTCAATTTTACTTTTATTCATTTTTTTTCAGCCCTTGGGATAAGGAATCAAGAGGGATTAAAAATTTTTTTAAAAGAAATATACTGTATGTATTTAAACAACCCATCTCAAAAAATGAAATCAACAAGTTTCCTGTTAAACTCTCTATATATATGGTTCTCTTTCTTCCCCATCTTCCCTCCCACCATATTTAAAATATGGATGGATTATAATTTATTTACAAATATTTTAGAGAGATGTAATATCTAAATCCTGACTTCAGTGAATCAAAAGAGAAAAGAGATATGCCTTCATCAAAAAGTTAATTATCTATGTAATCTAAGGTATTAACATTACTGATAATATATTAGTTAGATAAGTATGCAAAACACTTTAACATTCATTTTCATAACATGATGAGGCAGAATAACATGTATCTTCGTTTTAAATCAGAAACAGGGATCAAATAGATTATGACATACTTTAAATCTTATGAGAAATAGTGATATAATACTTTCATTGGTATTACTTTGCTTATTCATTTTTAGGATATAGCATATATTTTTCTTTCGCAGATGAAAATAAAATGTTACCTGCAAGATCAGGATGTGCAATCGAAGACTGTGTAATTTCAGGAAATGTCGAAGAATTCCGTACAGATTTTATTTCTAGAATCTGGCTGACCTACCGGGAGGAATTTCCACAAATAGAGGGCTCCACTTTGACGACCGACTGTGGCTGGGGATGTACGTTGAGAACTGGCCAGATGCTGTTGGCTCAGGGACTCATACTGCACTTTCTTGGTAGAGGTAAATCATTGTTTGTTTTCACTTGAACCCCAGCTTTCAAAATGCGTACAGTTCCCTGAGGTTAATTTCTTGTCCCTGATATTTTCTAAAGTTGTAACTGATCTACTCCTAAGCTTGTCTAGGTATGATTTATGTGTAAACTTTCATGACTCCCTTTTCAAAAATACACATTAAGCATACTCATACTTGTTATTCTTGGTCACTTCAATGAATTAGATAAGTTCCATTTTGGTAGCCTTTGGATTTTTGCTGTTTTTGTTTTTTTTATCTCCTTCCCTTAGGACTCTGAATTATCTCCATTTCAGCAAGTCCTGGGCAAGTCTATAGCAGTGACTTTTGGCAATAATGCTTTTACATTAATTTAAATCTAATCAATTATTTCACACTATTTCCTTACACTGGTTTCTTTATTTTTCCTCTATCTATGCCTTACAATTAATTTCATTCTTATAAATACTATAATATTTTTATCTTTATAAACAGTCATATTTAATTTATTAGGCATATTCTTTAAAAGGTAATCAAGTTCAGTCTTTTAGAGTCTAAAATTTAGACTCTCAAAATGTTATTGATACCTTGATATATATATACATACACATATACATACTCACACATGTGAAGGGGCTTCAGAAATTAGGGGAAGCGAGAATGAAAAGATAATGTGCTTTTCCCATGAACATTTTGAGGCCCCTCATGAGTATATGCAGAGGGAAAGGGAGAAAGCCTCAACAAGATGGATTGACAGAGAGCTGCAACACTGGGTACAACCCTAAGAACAGTTGTCAGGATAGTGCAGGCCTGGGCAGCTTGTCGTTCTGTGTGTAGAGCAATGTCATGGGTCTGACTGACTCAACACCGAACAACGTGCGCAGATGTATATGTGAACATGTATGTGTCTATACACACCTTCTTTCTGATAGTAAACCTTTCCTACCATTTTTTATAAAGTATACATTTTCAGGAGGATTTTAGATCACTATTTTTGGCTATTAGATGAATACTAAATGTTATCAGAGATTTCCCCTTGCCCACCAAGTATTTGACAATTTCCTTGTAATGCATGGCATTATCTTTTATAATCTTTTTCTAGAGACTATTGATTAGGTAATTCAGAGAGAGTAAAATTCAAAGAGTTGTACAGATAATGCAAGGAAAAAGAATTTTTAGGAAGTATTTTTCTAGGGTGCCTTATTTATAGTCTTGTAAAGTCCCAAGCCAGGGTTATAATTGTTTTCATAATTCTGGCTCCTTTCATAGTTCTCTAAGTATTTGAGTCTTTGGTTAAATTAGGACCACTGGAGGTGTAAAGTTAAGTAAAATTACATGTATATTTGAGGACTCTTCTGTAATTAAACAGTGAAGCAATGGCTATTTGATTTGTTTTTTGTTTTTAATCTTTTATGTCTTAATTAATTAATTAACTTTTAATCTACTAGAGAATTGTCTCTACTCTCTAAACAATGATCGAATTATTCTGAAAGGATTATACAAGAAAATTATTTTGATAACAGAGTTTGACATGCCTACACTTAAACTTTCATTTTAACATATAATAAAAATAGAAAACATTTTTTGAAGTTCTCCTCATATGAATATTGAGACTGTTAATAGATAAGCTTATTGTGCCTTTCGGAAGTCAAGACGGGATGATGGATAGAGAACACTAATGGAATCCAAAAGTCATTATTCCATTTCACGACTCAGGAGAGAAACAAGAATACATTTCAGTGTTAGCCATTTGTACATGTTCACTATATGTTTTTTTGCCACTTTTTATAACTTTCCCCCTGCTTAAAAATAATATATTTCCATCTTATAAATTTTGGAAGTTATAGAAAAGTCCAGAAAATGGTATTACTACCCAGAAATAAACATAACTAATTAATTAGCATATTTTCATTTCTGATATTTATTTTTTAAACTGCTTTATTATTATATTTTTTTGCTGTGATGGAAATAATTCTATTTATTTATTTAAAAAATCATTTTATTGGGGGCTCATACAACTTTTTTTTTTCAGTTCTTTTTTTTAAATTGTTTTATTAGGGGCTCATACAACTCATCACAATCCATACATACATCAATTGTGTAAAGTGTATTTGTACATTCATTGCCCTCATCATTCTCAAAACATTTCCTCTCCACTTAAGCCCCGGCATTAGGTCCTCATTTTTCCCCTCCCTCCCTGCTCCCCCCTCCCTCATGAGCCCTTGATAATTTATAAATTGTTATTTTGTCATATCTTGCCCTGTCCGACGTCTCCCTTCACGCACTTTTCTGTTGTCCGTCCTCCAGGGAGGAGGTCACATATAGTTCCTTATAATCGGTTCCCTCTTTCCAACCCACTCTCCCTCTACCCTCCCAGTATCGCCACTCACACCACTGGTCCTGAAGGGATCATATGCCCTGGAATAAATTCATTTCTGTAAAGTTCAGTAGTTTTAGTATATTTCAGGGGTTCTGCAATTATTACCATAATATAATTTTAGGATGTTTTTATCAGCCCTCACAGAAACCTCATATCCTTTGACAGTCCCTTTTAATATTCTTCTCTTGCCACAATAAACTTGTTTCCATCCAGTCAATTTTGACTTGTATTATTTCTATGGGACAACGTATAAGTGCCCCCATAGGGTTTCTTAGGTTATGATCTCAGGGAAGGAGATTACCATATCTTTCTCGCACGGAGCAGCTGGTGAGTTCAAACCACTGGCCTTTGGGTTAGCAATTGAGGAATTAACCACTGTGCCACCAGGGTTCCTTTATCCTTCCATAGGCAATCATTAATTTACTTTCTGTCTTTATGGGTTTCTCTATAGACAGTTTTCTGTTTTAGTAATCTGTATATCTGTAATGAATTGCTACAGACTAATTTCAATAGAATTGTTAAAATCTATCTCTTTACAAGATCTCAACACCTTGCTTTGAACCTACTATAGCTTGGACCTGGCCTGATGCTTTGAACATTGAAAATTCAGACTCTGATTCATGGACTGCTCACACTGTAAAAAAAATTACTGCATCATTTGAAGCATCGCTCTCAGGGGAAAGTGAACCCAAAACTCCATCAAATTCTTTGAAGAAAACAATTGGGAGACATTTTGATGATCTTGAACTACGAAATGAAATTTACCATAGGAAAATCATCTCCTGGTTTGGGGATTCTCCCTGGACTCTCTTTGGCCTACACCAACTGATAGAATATGGGAAGAAGTTGGGGAAAAAAGCTGGAGATTGGTATGGACCAGCTGTGGTCGCTCACATTTTAAGGTAAAATTATTTCTTAAAATCTTGAACCTTGGGACAGAAGTCTTTAGCACCAGAAAAACTGAATTTTGCATTATGTATATATTATTAAGAACATTTAAATTCTAACTATAGAGAACAATTATAAAGGAGTTTTCCATTTGTTTATAGTGAAACAGAAAAGGAATTTGAGTCTCAACATTTGTGACTCTGGTTCCATTTAGTTCATCTCTTGACAAACTTGTTTCTTTTGGGTATAGGTACCCAAGATCTCTTTCTAACCCAGGTTTTCATTAAACTACATTATTGGAATATTCTGAAATTGAACAACTCTTTCAACCTTGGAACATGCATAACATATTATAGTTTTCTTTCTTTCTTTTTTTTTCATAGTGTAACCTGGGGGCTGTAATGTACTGATAGTGTAATGAAATGTCAAGAGCTAAAATTGATTTTTCCAGCATTTCTTTGCTCACATCAAATTCTTGAGAATTGTAAATGTATGGGTCTATTAATATTATAATTATGTCATAGTCAAAATAAAAGGTCTGTGACATTCAGGGTGCTGAGAAAAAAGTCAAAAGTCAAATTTCAATATACCTTAGCTTTTACATATTTTTAACATTCATTTGGATGTTTCTTAAAGTTTAAAAAATTACTTATTTTATATTTAAGTATTATCATAAATAGAAAATACATAGCGTATTATCTAAATTTGAAGGGCGTTCAAAAAGTTCTATGCATTGGGCTGCAATCTGCATGGTCGGCAGTTCAAAACCATCAACAGCTTTTTGGGAGAAAGACTGGCCTAATAAAATTCTAAGATTTAATATTAGAAAATTCACTTGCCTGGTGATAGAAGTTGTTGTTGTTTTTTGATAGTCTTATTGTCTAGAAGTTATTTTAAAAAGGAATAAAGTTATACTGTTGTTTAAGAAGAGAAACAGATTTTCCAGAGGGTAACAAAGGGCAAAACATAAAATGATTTGTTACTAGTTCATAGTATAAGTGAATATAAAGCAAATCTTCAAATATATTGTGATCTTGTTGGTTAGCAAACACTAGCCAAATAAGTGATTGAGAGAAATCGTATATAATTATTTATTTATGGTCCTAGCTTTATGCCCAACAATTTACTTATTTCATAATTTATATTTATCTTTGAATGTTCGTTGAGTAATTTTGAAGGAGCCTGTTGGTGTCATGATTACGCATTGGGCTGTGAACTGCAAGGTCCACAGTTTAAAACCACGCTATTCCGCAGGAGAAAGACTGGACTTTCTACTCCCATAAATAGTTGCAGTCTCTGACACTCACAGAGGCAGTTCTACCCTGCCCTATAGGGTCGTGATGACTTGGTATTGACCCGTTGGCAGTCAGTTTGGTTTGGTGAGTTGAGTAATTTTGTGTAATATTCAGCTTTGGGAAATTTGACTCAACTCAGTGATAGCCACTGAGGGTATAGCTCTGAAAACCAGACATTATAGATTACGTAGGAATGTCAAGAAAGTAATGACTCTTTACTCCTTTAGATATTAACTGGCAATACTCCTTAAGATTTTAAGACAGCAGTTCTCAACCTTTGAGTCACGACCCCTTTGGGGGTCGAATGACCCTTTCACAGAGGTCACCCAATTCATAACAGCAGCAAAATGACAGTTATGAAGTAGCAACGAAAATAATTTTATGCTTGGGGGGGGGTGTCACCAGAACATGAGGAACTGTATTAAAAGGTTGAGAACCACTGTTTTAAAAGATTATATTTGTTATTCTCTTAGAAAAGCAGTGGAAGAAGCAAGACACCCTGATTTACAAGGAATAACTGTTTACGTTGCTCAAGATTGTACAGGTAATGAATGTGTAAAATTCTAATTTTTGCCTCTTGTATTTGCTAATTAACTGTAAACAATTATAGAGGTTGGGACCATGTTTATACATTTTTACACATGCTACTTGTCAGGTACTGTTAACTATTTGTTGATTGAATATATATTATGAATTATTAGTTATGTTGTTAAAATATTCTAAGAAGATTCCAACATTTAAAATAATCACATAAAAAATTTAAAGGGCAAAAAAAAAATTATATGGCTAAATTTGCCATTGGTGTGTATTTGAGTTCCATGTGTGCCAGATTCTGTCCTTTTAATGGATGTGCTTCAAGGAAGGAAAATTCTCAAGAGGAACTGAATACACTATTAAATTACCCTCAATCATGTTTAATATAAGAATATCTATCAAATGCTAATGTTACTTTCATAATTGACTAGTATTTGTAGTGTAGGAAGAAATTCACATGCATTTTTGTTTTAACTTTGGTTAGGGTTTATTTCTTCTCTAAAAATGGCTGAAAATGAAAGTTAAAAATTTTCAGTTGAGTGCATGATTTTTTGCAGTTACTGTATTTATTTTGAAGGTGGCTAGGCTTGCAAATAAATTTTGGTGTGTTAAGAGTTAAACCTAAGGATATACTAAAACGATTGATTATTATTAAATCCATCCACAACTTGTTCCTCTCTGCCTCTTTTATTATTGCCTGTCAGCCTTGGACTTCTGTTGTTACACAGAGCTACCTAATTGAATAACACACAACACAAAGTTCCTTATTATAGAACTAGTTTATATGATTTGAAGTAGCTTTTTGAAATCTTTCTGTTGATGTCCAAGAATCCTAAAGTAGGAATTGATATCAGTAGTGTATTTTGATTGATTACGGGCTTAGGTCAGGTTTTGTCAGTGAATTTTTTTTTCTTTTTGCCTATACTAGTGTTTGAAAAAGTCCCATTTTCCATGTTTTGAAACTGATTGTGGTAGCAATTGTACAGTACTCCTTGATGTGATCGAACTATGGAATGTTATGATATCTGTAGGAGCTCCCAATAAAAGGATTAAATAAATAAATATCAATCAATAAAAGCCCCATTCCCCTTCATTCTGTATTCCTTTTTTGGGAGTTGCACTTGTTTTCGTAGTTTGATGGCACGATTTGGTAAGCTAACAGTGTCCCGTACTCGGCCTTGGACTGCTAACCCACCGGCTGGCTGCTCTGCTGGAGAAAGATGAGGCTCTGTGATGAGGCCAACAAACGCCCAAGTGTGCTTGACTCAAGACATGGACGTGTGGATTATGATAAGCAATGTATGAGCCCCCAGTAAAATGGCTTTTTAACAATGGGCTCTCTGCTCCTATAAGGATTTACAGCCTAGAAAAGCCTACACAGGCTCCCTATGTATTGGAATTGCCTTAATGGCAGTGGGCTTTTTGGATTGAAGTGCTTAGGATGGTACAGTGTATGCCTCTAAAACTTACCTCCAGTCTTAGCTCAGGTAATATGAAGTAAGTTATATCTGCTACTACTGTCAGCCATTTCCGCTTAGGTGTTCTCGAAACACTTCAAATGTGAAAGATTTAAAAGGAAACATTCCCTCGACCCCCACTCCCCTTTCTTCCTTTCTTCCTCTTTTCTGTCTACAATGCTTAAAAATCTAGAACTCCTTTCTTTTACTATTTTCTCATCACATAAATCCTGACAGAAAAACTTACCAATAAGTATTTTTTAAATGCCTCTGAAATCTGTTCTCTCTTCACTCTTGTTGTTTCAGTATTTCTAGTTTGAACTTTAACTTGATTTCTCTGCCTATATACCTTCCCTTTCTGATCAAAAGAAATCTGATCATGTTCATTTTTTATCTAAACACCCATGGCCGCCCATTAACTCAAATCTCAAGTTATTTTAAACATATAGAACACAAGGAGTCTAAACTCCTTGGCCCAAACTATGTTTCCAGCATCCTATTCAAGCATCTGTGAACTTTTATGCTATTCTTTGAACAGCCTATTATATATATTTTTCCTATGCCTTTGTCATATGGTTACCTCAGTTTAGAATGTTGCTTACGTCTTTCTACTCTTCTTAACGTTTGTTCATTCTTCAAGAACAAGCTCAAAGATTACACCTTGAATGAAACCTTTCCTAACTCCATCAGGCAGAATTGCTTTATTTCTCCTCTGTGCTCTGTAGCATTTTGGAACTATCATAATTAAATATTGCACTTGTCACTGTGTAATTATCTGTTTCTCCCTGGAGATCAATGATTGTTAAGGTATTGGAAGTAGAAGAAGGATATCAGAATCATATCGTTGAGAATCACTGCTCTGGAACACAACTGAATTAAATCATAGCCCTTAAAATATGTTGGAAGCCAAGGGGAAAACTCCAAAGCTATTGAGACAGGAGTCTCTTTGAAGATATGGTCTTATTATTATACTTCATGTCTTAGTTTTTTGTTGGAGAATGATACAGATGTCTGCTCTCGAAAAGATTTCGTCTTGGAAACCCCAAGGTTCTACTCTGTCCTGTAGCGCCTCTAAGTTGGAGCCAGCTTGCTGGCAGTGGGTTTTTTGTTTTGCTTTTAATCTACGCTTAGAAATTCAATGTAAGAATGGGGACCAACGTGTCAGCACTTGTTTAATCAACTAACTGGGAAGAGTGAAAGTTTGATTTAACTGTTAGAATACCTGGTTCTAAAGTAAAATTTGAAGGATTTGTACACATATGCTTCCTTCAAATCCTCCCATTTACCCATGGAAGTATTGCACCTAGGCTGTCACCTCCACCGTTCTTCCTCATTCTGGAGGTTGATTCTCAGACCTCCCCTCACTCAGTCTGTCGGCAGCTTCTCACACCCTCTTCCCTCTTCTCTTTGAATCCTTTTATTTACTTATGTTCCAGAATACATACGCTTCAGAATTTCTTTCTACCTCCGTGTACTCTTTGATGATTTTATAGTTCTCTGATTTCTAAAAGATATTGGTTTCTTAGGGCCCAGGCTTTGGATCTCATATTTTTTTTTCTGTGTACAGTGATTTGAATTCACCTAATTTGACTTAGAAATATCATCTGGATACTGATAACCCTCGAATTTGTAGGTCCATTCTGGACTGCTGCCTACACTCCAATCTTTAGTACTCTTAGCTTCCCATTCAGCTTCTCTACTTGAATATTTAATTAGGCATCTCACACTCAGCTTATCCCAAACTGAATTTTTAATCCTCCTACATAAACTTGCAGTCTTCCACGTTGTTGTAAATAGGATCCCTCTTTCTTTATTTGCTTATCTCCCAAACTTTAAAATCCTTTCTTTCTGTCACATTTAATTGTATTAGAAATGCCTTACTTTAATCTTTGTGTGTATCAACAGCCTGATCACTTTCAACACTTGTACATGACTATCACATGGCCATTACTGATCTGATGCTTCAAGTCACTTATTTACGTCATTGTCATCTCTTACTGGATTTCTGCATTGGCTTTTGTATTAGTCTGGGTACTTTAGAGAAACAAATCTACAGAAACTCATGTAGAAGAGAGAGTTTTATATAAAGGTTACATGTGCATCAAGAAAACATCCCAACCCAGTGCTGCCCAAGCCCACAAGTTCAACATTAGCCCATTAACCCATATGTCCAACCCCAATCCACAAAGTCCTCCTCCATCTCACAAAGCAGATGCAATGATGCTGACTGCAGGAGGAAAGCCGAGTCAGTGAATGTGTAAACAACTCAGCACTGGCAGGGGTCTCCACGTGACTGCTCCAGCACCCAGGGCTGCATCGGGGTAGGTCCATGTGGCTTTTGCTCAGGGAAGGCTTGCAGAAGTCAGCCTTGCAAGCTGAAGCAGGGAACTGCTAAGGCAGCTGCACCCTGGTGTGATAACCAGAAAGCAAGAGACCTGAGAACTAGAAAGGCGAGGCTCACGGAGCTTTTATCCTTCCGCCCTTCAATTAACCCCATATGTGTTTATTGGCCAGGTTGGCACAATAAACTAACTGCCTCAGCTTTCTCATGGCTCTTTATGATCCACGACCTGCTCCCTATAGTCTATTATGACAGGAACAGTCTATTAGAGTGTAAACGAGGAAGTCTGCCCTGGTCAACCTTTTGCTACCAGCTTTTTCAGTCGCTTCTGCTCTCACTCAAAGTAAAAACTGAAGTCTTTACAATGACCTTCCAGAGACCACCGGTTTCTCTTCCAGTACTTAATTTAACCCTGGTTCCCGTTCTTCAAGAAAATAGTGACTCCGTGTGCGTGCCACGCCTCCTCCATTCCGGGAACATGTTAGCTGTGTCTTCTTCAAGGCATCTATTCTTTTGTGGAATGTTCTTCCCCCAGATACCTGCATTACTTATTTTCTTTGGGTTTTACTCGGATATTTTCTTATAAGTCTTTCCCAGATCACCTTATTTTAAATTATCCCCTTCCTCCACTTTTCCTCTGGATACCTGGTGGGCACCAAACTGAAAAGTCTGCTCCTGTAAAGATCTTGTCTCGGAAACGCTGGAGCACTACTTCTCTGCCCCGTGGGGCCACTGTGAGCCCGAAATGGCTCGATGCCAATGGGTTTCTTCCTTATCTCTCTCCCTTCCTTTCCTTTTCTTCAAAGTGCCTGTCACTACCCGACACTCTATACTTTAATTATTTATCATGCTATATCTTTCCCTGTTGGAGCTTATGCCCTGTGAGAGCAGGGTTTTTTCTGTTTGGTTCATGGCTGTAACCCAGTTTCTAGCATAAAGTAGCCTTTATTGAATGCAAACTCACTGCCATTGAATCAATTCTGATTCTTTGCGACCCTGTATAGACTTTCGGAGATCTTTATGAGAACAGATAATAGATCTTACAGTTGTAGATTGTGTCTCCCGCGGTGACACTGGTGGGTATGAACCACCAACCATGTGGTTAGCAGTCCAATATTTCACCAATAGTGCTATCAGGGCAGTGAGGTATGTATTATTAACTTGTTTAGCCCTTGATAGAACTGTCAGAGTTGTGATGATTAGCTAGTGTGAAGGGGGTGGAGTAGGGTTAGAGGGAGTGGGGGCAAGAGAGAACTAAGATTAAAAAAATATTGTTGAATATTACTATTCTAAAATTTAATGTGTATTCATTATGTTTTCCTCAGTGTACAATTCTGATGTAATTGATAAACAGTGCACCTCCATGGCCTCTGATAATCCCGGCGACAAAGCTGTTGTTATTTTAGTTCCTGTTAGACTTGGTGGAGAAAGAACCAATATGGACTACCTGGAGTTTGTAAAGGTATGGATGTAAGAGATTAGTCTCAATAAAAAAAAGTGGGGGAGGGAGAGGGGAAAAAGAGCTTATACCAAGAGCTCAAGTAGAAAATGTTTTGGAAATGATGATGGCAACCTATGTACAAATATGCTTGATACAATTGATGTATGGAATGTTGTAAGAGCTCTCGATAAAATGATTTAAAAAAAACAACCTCTAGCTAATTTGAAAAAAATAAAAGGTTTACAGTCTTTTCTTCTAGTAAATGGATCGTGCTGGTCTTACAGTGGTAGACTATTAAGTTTTACATTAGAAATTTAAAATTTAATATTACAAGAGTAAATATAATTGAAGAGCACAGTGTTTTATGATAAAGTTAAAGCATTTCTATCTTCGGAGCTCCTTGGGAAGACACAGCCAGTCATTGTGATCTTCAGTAAAGCAGTAGTTTCTATTGTTTGTTTGTGTGTTCCTTTTCTTATTCATACAATGCACATTAAATTATTCCAAGGTAATTATTGAAACAATCTTACTTGTGTGTTACTGCTGTATTGTCCCTTTTCTTAGTTTGTTCTACCATGGTATCAATAAGATGTTAGAAAGATTATTTATATTGACATGTATAATAAAGTTAGTTACTATGGTTGAGGCTGAAGAAAAATGCCTATTGTCAGGTGAGAGAAAAGGAATAAACACTTAATGCTATTGAAAAGCTATAAAATTCAATGGTTTAAAATGTTTTAAACAAATACTTCTTAATTTAAAATTTTTACTAACCAAATATAATACATGCTCATTGAAAAATAAATTAAAAATATAAATGAGAAGAAAATCCCACTAATTATTTAAACATGTATATAAAAAGGCTATATAAATATTCTTCCAGATATTTTTCTTTTCATAAATATGAATGTATATATAAATAGATATTTTAATTTTAAAAAAGTTTATTTTCTAATGGCTAGTTGGCATTTTATTTTATGGCTCTATGATAGTAAACTTAACCAATCTTATGATACTTCATGGGATATTTTTTAGGTTGGCCCCTCCTAGTGTTGCTCAGGTGAGAAACCCTGGCACCCAGTGGTTGAAGGTCTCAAGTGGTAACCAAAAGGTCTGAAATTTGAACTGACCAGCTGCTCCTCAGGAGAAAGATGTAGCAGCTCCTGTACAGATTTACAGCCCTGCAAACCACATAGGGCAGTTCCACTCTGTCCTCTGGGGTACCCAGGAGTTGGAACCACTAGAAGGCAGTGTGTTCATCCACCTTGAATGAATCTTTTTCATCATTTACATTTGCATATATGTTAAAATTCTTTACTAGGTGAACTATTTAGATGTGCCACATTTAAAAATTTATTTGCATGTTGCTCAGTTGCCTGAGCAGTACTGATGTGCCCACTGAATGGCAATATGCCCATCATCTATCGTTCTTCAGCTTTTTGCCAGTGTAAGCAGAAAATGTTTTACTTGTGTAATTTCTTTGATTATCAAGTTTAAAACTTACCATTTACTTAAAAAAACGTTAAGTGACTGGTTGTTATTCTTTTTTTCCAAGAAGTGAGCTTTTTTACAGAGCTTAGTTGAGAGGGGATGTGTGTTTTCTGTTTTGGTTGGAGAAGTATTCAAATGGGCCAGATTAGCCCATACCTTTACAGGTTCTTTATTTGGTGCGAGGCCTACAGAATTCTTCCTTTAGGTTATATGTAGTGATTCACCATATCTTGTAGTTTCTCTGCAGTTTTATTTATTTTTTCATCACATATTTAATTTTTAAGAAGAAAAATGGGGAAGGAGAACTCTATGGGTCTAATTTTGCTTTGTTTTGCATATTAATAGTTAAAATTTAATTTTACATTAGAATATATAATTCTCTTTTTCTTGTACCAAGGAAACCTGTAGCTTTATAAATTCATAGTTTCTGGTAAAGATTACAGTATTTATACTATTTTCTTAGTTTTAATAAAATCTTTCACTTTTCAGGAGCCTATTTTCAAGTCCAGACATGGCATTCCTTTTTGAATAGAGTACTATAAGGTGGAAAACTCTTGGGGAAAAAAAAAATCTAGATCTATCTTTGATAATCTAGTAATAATTTATTCTGAAAAAGAAAGCACAGATCCCATATTGGTCCCTATACATACAGGTAGAATGTCTATTTTTTTGTTTGTTTTTTAGAATGCCTTTTCTTAAGCTTAGCTGTGTTGGCTGTGAAAGTATTGAGCAGTTAATAATAATACATAGTATGTCGAAGTCTTATAGATGGTGTACTCCTTTTTTCCAAATAATTATAAAGAAATCTACAGGTGTATTTGTTACTGATGATCATGATGTTGTATCTGTAGACACATGACTGCCTTAGATAAAAATGGGGTTTGGGTTGCTAGCTTGTAGCTTTTTAGTAGAGTTGAATACTAGAAGTTGTGAGCTATATCATTTCAAGAATTGAGATTTCTGGCATGTTGCTGACTCTAGGAAGTTCTAGAAAGCAAACCTGAACTGAATTTTCTTTTTCTTCTCTACCACAAAGTGAAGATTGAGAATGATACTTTTAGCCAAACCTTTATGGCATGTCTCCTCTTTGCTGTAGGGTGGTAATGCCAGCATCCACTGCCATCGAGTCAGTTCTGACTCTTAGTGACCACAGAGGACAGAGTAGAACTGCCCCTTGGGGTTTTTGAGACTCTAAATCTTTGCCGGAGCAGACAGCCTCCTCTTTCTCCCACAGAGTGGCTAGTGGTTTTGAACTGCTAGCCTTGCAGTATTAACAGCCTCTCGTGTAACCCAGTATGCCTCTTTGTGGTAATAGGTAGTACTTATTAGGTGACAGGACTCTCTAATGCCAGTACGTTACTTGTGGAGCTAAACTGTAGTGAAACAAACCGTGGTTTACTGTTAAAGGGATTCTTAACAGCATATAGGAATTAATAAATGTTAACTTTCATGTTCGTATAAAACTGTCAAATACAAATTTCTCTCGTTTGGTCCTTACAATAGCTAGTATTTGCATTGTTTTCCTTATAAAATCTGGGAGAGAGTGAGAGATAGCCATTAAGTGACATGTTCAAGTTCAGATAGCAAGGGGGTGGCAGAGACTAGAACTTTTTAAACTCCATGTTCATCATTTTTCATGTTCCCTCCCCTAAGATATATAGACTTTAAGAAAAGGTAGCGTTTCCCTGAGCTTTTACTAATTTACACTAAAGTCTACTAAAACAATGCAGTCACTGTTGAGACTTTAGAAGTTTTCACTTAACAACAACTATAGTGGCTGAGGGACACAGGTCACACACTGAGTGTTTTGCTTGGCCAGAGGTGGGTGTGGTTAAGGTGAAAGTGAGAGCATGTAAAGGGGAGTCGCTGAGAAGTGATCAAGTCAGGTACCTGGTAAATGATGCTTTTCTTTCTTGCTGTGTGTGTGTGTGTGTGTGTGTGTGTGTGTATCCAGCAGTTGTGTTTTTTCTTGCCAAACCATGACTTCCTGTAAAATTCACCATGAAATTGTGGTTTTCAAATTTATTAATTGAGATAATTCAGCACCGGTTTAGAGGTGTGCATTTTGTGAGTAGAGAGACATTTAACGTTGTGATCTGTTATCCTTTACCTACCACAGAGATATGTATATACATATGCACATTATTTATCCATCTATATTCACACATTTATGTATGGTGTACATTAATAGTATGTATATATATATATAGCATATATATATAAATATAAAAGTTTGAAAGGACCTAGAATGAATAAAATCCAATATGTTCTTTTTCTTTAGCAAGACAAATTAAGACTCCTTTTTGACCAATTACTTCAGTTTTATTTATTGCTTCATGGAGATAGTCCAATAAATGTTCACTACTAGATAACTGTGTGGACGCTCTGTTAGGAACTGAGAAGTGTTTAAAGTTTCCAAAGATGCGGCTGCTTTTGTGTAATGGCATTCTAGCGTCCAGTCTTCATCTCAGTGTTTGTGCCTACATCTGTCTAGTCTGTTGTCAAAGACAGACACACGTTAAAGACCAAAGTCTTTATTCCATTGTTTGGAACTCTCCTTTTTTCCTGAGGAGAGCCGGTGATAAATTTTACTCACTTTCAATCTCTCTTTCTCTCTCGGTCACTTTCAATCTCTCTTTCTCTCTGTCTACGCACACACACACACACACACACACACTCACAAGGTTAGGACTTGGTTAGGATTAGGACATTTCAGCTGATCGGGTATTCACTATTTTTCATACTTCATCTGAATTTAGTTTTTAATTAGTATGAAGATTGTACCTAATGTGCCCTCTCTTTGATCCCCCCCCCCCAGTTTTTCCAGTTCAGTTTCATTTCAAAATTCTCTCGATATTTTCACAAGTTCAAAAAATATGCAAAGTAGTTCTTCAGAGAGTTTTTTATAACAGCAAGAACCTGGAAATACTTAAATATTCATAATAATGTATTAAGCAAATCTTAGTATTATAAAATAGCATGGCTTGTTGTAACCATGAAGTATCATAGATATGTATTTATTAATATGAATAGATGTTTATGACACCATGGGTAATGAAAGATTGCAACTGCATATGTAGTATGATGCCAAATACATAAAATTGTATCCATACCTCATAGCGTAAATGAACATAGAAATGTTAAGAAGATGTTTTCAAAATCTTCGTCCTGGTGACCTTTAGGTTGTGGAGTTTGAGGAAATTGTTACTGATACTAACATTTTCTGTGTGCCTGTTACAATGACCATTTCATATTCAAAACAAAATAAAACAACAGCAACAACTTTAGAAAACCCAAACTTGTGGTCTGATTACTTGTTACAGAGAAAAAAGCCGTTTTAAAAAACATTTTAAAGATTTACATTTTCTATTAGATTTTAAAATATCCTCTCCTTAAAAGGACAGTTTAGCTATTTTTTAATATTTTTAAGATTGTTGTATGTATTTTTTCATTGTTGCTGTTTTCTAAAATAATGTATCCTAAAATGTAGGAACTGTTGGTAAGACATTAAATTCAGAGGGGATGTTTCAAATGACTCCATTGGTCGTGCTTTTTTAAAAGGTAGAGAATTATTTGGCCCTGCTCAAATGCAGTTCTGCTTAGACTAGATGTAAGGGTATATATTAAATAGTTTATTGAGGTAACTCTGATATTTTATGATTAATAAAATCAATTTCATTCACTATAATAATAGTAATAATACTTTTACTTGGATTAAATTATTTTCATTTCTCTTTTTATTTCCAGGGAAGTAGCATACATTTTTGTCAACTGAGTGCCATGATGTTTAGAAAACTGGCTTTCAGGGTACTAAGGATCAGATCCAATGAAAATAGTAATAAGGTTCAAGAGCTATTTCTAGCCTTTCCAAAGCCTGATGAAAATATTACAGTTATCACAACAAGGCTAGACCAGCTAACTAAAAGGCCAAGTATTTTAGCTTTTGACAGGAATTTTATTGCCATAGCTGGTAGTAGTGCTTTTTTCCCCTTGTGTATCTGACATAGCAGTTGCTTAAGGTTTTTGAGTTAACATGCTAATCCAGATATTTGATTTAGTAGTTGGCAATTTTGAGTGACGTAAACATCAATAAACAGGATGACAAATGACATGGTAGACGAAGATTTCAAAGCATGGGAGCAAATGTGAGGACAATGGTAGCTAGGAGCGAAAAGTTGATGAACTCTTAATTGTTAACTGTTTGGTTGTTTGGAATAATTACTGTTTGTTTACTGACTTCTAAGTTCTAACTGATTTCTTTTGGCAGGGAATTTTAAGCCTTGAATATTGTGTGGGTATTATTGGTGGTAAACCTAAGCAGTCATACTACTTTGCTGGATTTCAAGGTTAGTGAGTTGATAAAATAATTCTTCATTGTTTTGTTGAAAAGTCAGAAAGTTAATATAGGATCATCTGAAAGGAGGATGATTAACAGAGCAAATGAGTAACTTATATGTTCATCAGGCCGACCATAGGCTCTCATTTGTCATTTGGTCCGCAACATAATTAGATTCTGTAAAATGTATGTTTAATTTCTGTTATTGCATAAACAAGGCATAATTTATTGGTTTCACTAAACTTCAGAAGACATTGCTGTCACATTGTAGCAGTTGCTATTTACATATTTACTTTTTTTTTTTACCAGTTTTCATGGTGCTAGTTGATGATAAAATGACAAGCAATATGTTCTTCCTGTCAGGATAAAGTAATGCAATACATTTTTCATATGCAAACTGTAGAGTATAATTGTGTGTTTGTGAAAGTAATTTTAGCACCCAAAATTAAATGACAGTCTCATCACTTTATAAAAAATTCTGCTTATACAAGCATATTTGATTATGCAAAAGTTAATCTGTCCTGTGCAAACCTATGTTTCCGTCAGTGAGTATCAGTCTGGCAAGCTGTTACTCCCAGCTTTTTTTTCTTCCGCTGTTCTACATAGAAATTGGATTGTAAGCAGTGTAATAATGAGGTGTTTTTTGAGTTACTTGTCTTCTGTTTCGTCCTTGCAGATGACAGTTTGATTTACATGGACCCTCATTACTGCCAGTCTTTTGTAGATGTCAGCATAAAGGAGTTCCCTCTGGAGGTATGATGGCAAAGAGCCGGCACTGTTTTCTTACCACAGAAAGCAAACTCTGTAATTATTTAGAGATGCACTGAGTGGCCATGCTTTCATAGGATTATAATTAGAAGTGAATAGTCAATATTTTGCTGACTTATAAAACCATGATCAACATAGTGGCCAAAGGTTAAGCACTTTGTTGCTGAATTTTAATTTATGATACACTTCCTACTTCATTTATCTTTGTCTCTACCTTGTTAGATACACTTGCCCCCAAATAAACTATCAAATATCCAAGTAATTTTGTAGAAAAGATAGTGGAAGAGTTCTGGAGAATATAACATGTTAGACTTTTTATTTTTTAAAGAGGAAATAAAGAGAAAGTGATAGAGTTATGTTAAAATGGCAGAGTGACTTCAGGGAGACGGCTAAATTATTTTGCTTGATGTTAATTTCGAGTAGGTTAATCTCAGCCTCATCTTAATAATCTTAAAAAAAATTTTTTTTAAAGAATCTTTTAAGCATGTAGTTGGGCTTCTAATTGTTTTAGCTTGGTTTCTTAACCCATTCTTTTCCCTTATATAGGTAGGTCATTTTGAGATTTTTATGGAGGAAATGTAGCGTATATAAGTAAGACATGTAATTATCACAAAGTCTGGGATCTTGTGTTTTCAGTGGATGTTTTCCTGTCTGTGTTAAATTAATGTTTAATCATGTGAGCTCCATGGATCCCTAATTCTCAAGATTTTATAAATTGAAACTCTGGCTTATACTTTGTTTTGATAATAGGCATGGTTCCAACCCCCATGCTGTGGAGTTGGCTCTGAGTCATGTGTGGCAGAGTTGAATCGTGCTCCATGGCTAATTGTGTATCTGGATTGCCAGGCCTTTCTTCTACAGTGCCTCTGGGTGCATTTAAGCCTCTAACCGCTGGGTTAACAGTTGAGTGTGCATTGCCCAAGGATTCCTAATAGCTTGCTTGCTCATATTAACGCCTAATAATATTTAGGGAGTAGAGTATGAAAAGAGGCAAAATATAATTTTATTAAAAAGTAGGTCAGAAAGATACATTATAAAACATGATAGGATTCTTTGTACACTATTATCTCAACTAAAATATGGGCAACTTGTGACCAAATTAATAAGCATGTGCTAGTTGACTGATTCTGGGGAGACACTGCAGAATTGTCTATGTGACCACACTAGTTCTCTGCTGCTGCATGTGCCACTAGTCCTCTGTGAAAGTCACATTTCTACTGCCTCTGTGCCAGATTTACTCCTTAAAAGCCATAGCTAGAGACGCAGATGAAAAATGGGCCCTACTATTTTAACATTACCTGAAATGTTGTTGGTAGGTGTCATCCAATTGGTCCCAACTCATAGTGACCTGTGTACAGCAGAATGGACCACAGCCCGCTCCTGTGCCATCCTCACAGCTTCACAAATATGTGTGGGTGCATTACTGGAAACACACACATGGAAAGATGACTGGCATGAATTGTTTTGACCAGTAAACAGAGACTGTCATTATGATACTTTGACAGATTCTGCAAAGATGCTGGAGAGAGACTATCTTGCTTGTATCTACACAATCAAGCCTAGTAAGGTTGTAACTCATCATTGGGAACCAGTTGTAACATTCCAGGGTGAGTTAATAAAAGTTTGAGGTAGGATAGTGATAGTGAGAATGGAAAGAAAGAATTGATTATAAGAGACACTGTAAAAATGAAACTTGATGAGATTCGGTGACTTCTTCAATGCGCAGAAACTTTATACATTGGAACACCAAGATGTTGAGCTTAGATGTTAGGTATTTGAGATGCTGGTAGAATAGCTCATCCTATCTAGATAGTCCCTGTGAAATTTTAAATTTTTTTTCTGAATGTACTTATTTATCATAGATTATCTAGTTCATAGCTATCATTTCCTTTCCTATGGAGGATGATATAAAAAAAGACAGCATTTGTCTTTGTACAGAAAGAAATTTTCACTTTGCCTTTGATCTTGTTATGACTTTATAGTGTTCAAGTGGAGTATTTTAACTGCCTTGTGTTTACTAACGTTCCTGGCCTTGTGCTTTATTTATTGGTTGTGTATTTTATGAATATGCTACTGATATTGTGCAGTTGCTTGATATAGTAAATTATGTGCACATTTTAAAACCACCTGTAAATCTCAAATATCTTGAAACGTTTTTATCTGCAACTCTTTCAATTAATACTTCTTAGTTAATAGCTGGTAAAATAGAAATCTTAGATTTCTTATCCAAGTTCATTCAAATGCGTAATTGCTCACAGTATTAATATTTTAAGTGAGTGTTCTGAGTTCATTAGAATTGTGCAATTTCAAGAAAGCAGTATGATATCAGAATATTTGAGATCAAAGTAGAGAATTAAGCAGGATATGCCTTTTGTTTTTGTTCCTACACTTCTGTAAGTTGAACTTCAAAGATTTTGTTTATTTGAAACAAAAATCAAATCAACTTGTTTCAGCTCTCTGTGTTTTTAACGCTATTGGCCTCTTTCTATGTTGAAGGTTCCATACTAAGCCCTCTAAACAGAGCCCTCTATTGAACCCTCCCTTTCTGTGGTTCAGAATGCTTGGATTATACATTTTTGTATTGATTTTGAATTCTTGAGGCATTTTCTTGTAAGGTATATTAGTATATGCTATTGAATTACTATACCAATTTTTAAGAACATTTTCTTAATGTTTAACCTATCTTCACTGAGTTGTTTTTTTTAAACGCATTCTGACATGAACGTAGGTAATGATATTTCGATGCTGAGCTAGTGGTGGGATTATGAAAGCAGTCCATGTTCAGGACTGAGGAGCGGAGTAAGTGGTTCGTGCAAGGGAAAATCATAATGTGTAAATTCACGTGTTGTCATACAAATTTTGTTTTAATCTTGTTGAGAATAGGGACAGCAAGACATATACTGATTCAACAGCATGTGTGTTTCAGGGACATTGATTACGTTTATTTGTCAGGGTGTGTACCCATTCTCAACTTCCTTTTCTGAGTTGTTCCTCCCTCGTTAACATTAATTCGCTGCCCCCCCCTACCTTTCTTTTCTTTTTTTAAAAAAATTGCCCCCCTAGCTTTCTTATCTACATAATCTCCCTAGTTGCTTTTGTCGATTTCATCCCATGTAGACAAACATAAAAGCGTACTGCTCAAAACAGCCATTCTCTACAAGTTAAGAAAAGCTATTGTTTGGTTTTAAGAACAATTCTGGGGCTATTTTTTTATTTAAGATTTAAAGATTATCTCAGGACAATCATTTTGGGGTTCATCAGATCCTCATGACTCCAGTAAGTCTGGAGATTACAGCTGCAATTTTAATATAGAAAATGGAACTCAAATGTGTTGAACAGCCTTTTGGGTGGAGTGGGGCTGGGGGAAGCCAGCTTTAAGCAAGCATGGCCTGAAAAGAACTCAGTGCTCCTGAGCAGTAGGGTGAATGGGTTACACCCAGCAGCCACTCTGCAGACAAGGCATTTCTGCATTCAGACAGTTGTGGTTTTATTTTGTTCCTCTTGTCCAGTTGCATAGAGTCGCCGTGCATTGGCATTGAGTCAGTATCCAGTGGATTTTTATGTTACGAAGATGCCAAACTGTTAATAGCCAAATCGCAGCCGCAAGGTTAGATCGCCTGGGTCACCCTCCCCAGCCCACTGATAACTGTGGCACCGTGAGCACCCGAGACAAAGTATGAACGAAAGGGCAAAGGAAGCTTGGGGAGAAGGTCTGTCCAAGACCAGGACAGAATGGTTCCCCTGTTCCATTCTGTGTGTTCTGTACGGGAAAAAACAAGAACTTGCCCAAATAAAAGAGTGGGCTGGAGTCTGTGCCGTTCTGTACTTCTTATGTCAATCATGCAAGCTCCTAAGCTGGTGTCTTCTCATTTCACAGGGGAATATTTACAGGACTCTGTATGCCTGCTCACAAGTTGATGTCCTTGTCGAGTTTCAGAGAGCCGTCACCGCCTGGCACAGCAGTGGCTAACTTGATTCTAGGCGTTGTACAGCTTTTGCAGGCCTTCTTCAGTGGCATGCCTGTGCCTTCCATTCTGCAAGTGTTAGAACTCTACGTGCAACCTTTGACCTGCGTGTTTTCTTTTTCAGAATGACACTAATGCAACAAAGGTGGAAAATTAGTAACTTAGTACGTTGACTATACACAATGTTGGTGTGCTCACGTACAGCGTGGCAGAGTGGGAGGGACCAAAACATGACTTGAAAAGCATGCTTATAGTTAGTTCTCAGGGCAAGCTAGCTAGCCATTCTTGTATATACTTAGGACCATCAAGAGAGAAATTAATCTAAAAAAATTTTAAATTGCAGACATTCCATTGCCCTTCTCCTAAAAAGATGTCGTTTCGAAAAATGGATCCTAGCTGTACAATAGGATTTTACTGTCGAAATGTTCAAGACTTCCGACGCGCTTCCGAGGAAATCACCAAGGTACTTTTATTTAAAATATTATAATACTGTATTTTTCTAAATGACCAAGTTGTTTTGGTTAGGAATAGCTTCTCAGAAGATAACTGTCTAAATCATGGTACTTTTGTGAAACCGCTTCTTGAATTTAGTGTTATTTAGGACTGTTGTGAACTAGAAAATAAAACGATGTGGGGAATCCTAGAGCTTGCTGTAATTGGGATCCACCAGGGACCCGGTTGAAGGAACCCCAGTGGTACAGTGGTTACACATTTTACAACTAACCAGTGGTTTGAACCCATTGGCCATTTCTCCAAAGAAATGACCTGGCGGGCTTTCATACAGATTGAAAACTGGGGACCCCTATGCCACTCTACTCTGTCTTCATACAGGGTCTCTTCTGAGTTGGAGTTGACATGACCGGCTGAAAAAAACCGATTGGTGGTCCACTAGGTGGCACTGTTGAAGTAAAAATCCCTTTGCAAACTGTAGCCATGTGCTAGCAATTAGGTGAAATTCTATTTGAGAGGATTTTAAAAGGGCAATCCCTGAGGGGTAGAAAAAAAATTAATGAAGTATTTGATCAAACAAAATTGCATATTATTTCTTGTTAGTCCAAAGGCTGCTGCGTTGATTTCGTTTTGTTTCGTTTAAAGAGAAATGGTATTTTTAGATTTCTCAGAACCGCTTTATCAAATGAGCAATGTTGTTACCTTTACACAAACTTGCCTAATCTGATCTTCTCTACGTAAAGGATCTTTGGAGTAGGTTTATTTCACTTCTTCTTCACACTTGTGCTTCTTTGTGGGTCTGGAGTACTGCTAAAGCGTTTATGGAGCTTTGATACTTTAGTGTGCTAGAAAGACAGACGACTTATGTAGGAAGCAAACGTCTATTAGTATCAACAGCTGCAGATTCTTATTTTAGGTAAGTTAAACCAATAGTAGAATCATTCTGAGACATTTTTAATGAGCCCAGATATTGATAGTAACTTAATAGTGCTTTTCTCTCAACTAATTTTCCTCAGAAAATGGACATAATAAGCTGGAATTTTATCTCCACCGTGTATAAATAGAATGAAAGACTTAATAAAAAGTTTCGCGTAAGCGAGATGCCGTGTAGCTGACTTGCCACGTAAACGAGGGAGTTTACGGGGACGTGACAGGAAAATGAACGCGGAGAAAATGAGATCTGTGCGGACCTTTCCTTCGCCTTCATTTCTCACCGCTGTCGCCTCTGCCTTCTCCTTCCGCAGCCGGGAGGGAAGGCCGCCGAAGAGAACAAAACACGCTCGCCGTCTCCTTCTAGTATCGAAGCCAGCGTGCGGATTTGGGCAGTTTAGTCTGACAAGTCTTGGTCTTCAAGGAAGCACCGTGTCTGCGCTAAAAGATCCAAATGCAGATGCTGCGAGTCACGATAAGGGATGTTGTTGAACACTTCCCCTTAGCGAGCCCTGCTTCCCTGTTTTCATGAATCCCCTTTCTAGCTCCGTTCAAGCGAGTGTTCCAGACCTGACTCCAGGAGTTGCAATAAACCACATGGTTTTTACCAGATTAGAAGACAAAAGCACGATTCGGAAATGCGTTATATGTTGATGCTTTTTGATTAAAAATATTTATTCTGGTTTTCACACTGGGAAAATACTTAGAAATTATTGTCCTGGATGTATCAACATAACACCCAACATTAGGGCAAAGAGAAACCAAATTGAATATCATTTGGGCCTACTGAGAATTTTCCCAGATCAGTTACCTTTGCTTTAATAAGAGTGTTGCTCGCAAGTTAATAGCTTGTTGTAACCGTCTCAGAGACCCACTTGGTCATTTAATAACTGGATCACATACTTTTGTGTGAAAGTTTGTTGTTAGGCAGTTTTCCTTTGCATCTTAAAAACTGAATTTGGCATTTAAGTGACTATTTTTTCCTCTTTGTTTTAATCAACACTGTGTTTTCAGTTTTTTCATTTTGGAGATGAGGCTAGGTAGTGTAGGATGCTATCTTTGTTTTGTAATGTGATGTTAAGGAATGGTCTGACTCCTTATGCTATTTAAGTTTTTAAATGTTAATTAAAAGTATTAAATTAATTAATTCAGTGTTTAGTGAAGTTTAGCCCAGGAAATATATGATTAAATATCATATGCCAAACCTAAAACAACTGAGATAAAACCCCTACTTTTGTACAAGATAGAAGGCTTATGCCCTGAGCTAGCATTTCTGGACAAGAAGGGAGAATAAAGACAGATAGACATATATTACATTGAACATGATAAGCATCAAACAGAAGTAGGAATAAATTTATAGGGGAAGAAAGGGTTTTGAAATGAGAGAGATGTCACATCCTAGTCTCAGTGCTTTATTGTCATGGTGATATTTAAGATGGGCCTTAGAGGGGAAGCTTAATTTCTATTGGCTGAGTGAGAAGGAAGAGCACTTTAAGCAGAGGGAAACGAGCAAAGGGGAAGGAAACTACACAGCTTACCTATAAAAACAGACACATCAACTAAGCCCACTGCCATCAGTCAACCCCAACTCATAGGGACCCTATGTAGGGTTTCTGAGACTAAATCTTTATAGGAACAGAAAGCCTAATTTTTCTCCCAAGAAGCAGCTGGTGGACTCGAACCACTAACCTAGCGGTCAGCAACCTAATGCTTATCCCATAATGGCACCAGGGCTTCTCAGAGCTCATCTAGAGAAAGGCAAATAGCCAATGTTGTGGGCACCAAGGATACATGCGTCAGAACTGACAGGATGGCAGTGAGTTTGGTTTTGTTTTCAGGGTACCTAGATTGCCTGGGTGGTGCAGAACACTTAATGTGTTTGATTGCTAACTGAAAACGTGGACGGTTTGAGTCCACACATAGGTGCCTTAGAGGACAGGCCTTGGAGATCTGCATCAGAAAAATAAGGCGTTGGAGCCCTGTGGAATGCATTTCTACTCCTGACACATGTGAGGTTGCCTTAACTCAGCACTGACTTGACAAAGCTGTGTGTGTGTCAGAATGCCTATTTTTGAACTGACCGAATCAGAGTCTCAAGGCCCAGGAATCTTTTAGAAACAAAAAAACCCCTTCACTCTGACTCCCGGTGATCCCATAGGTCAGGGTCGAACTGCCTCGGTGGGTCTCTTCAGCAGGACGGAAAGCCTCCTCTTTCTGCCTGAGAGTGGCTTGTCAGTTTGAATTGGGGTTAGCTGCCTAAGGTGTACCCACTGTGCCACCAGGCCTCCTGGTTTTCTTGCAGAAGCCTCCCGAATTTGAATCACTGATGTACGTATAATCCCAGATATGATACTTGATGGGTTTTGGTGGTGATAAATAGTATTTTATTTTAAAACTTACATATTTATCATATTTATATTAGAAAAAATATAACAGCTATACTAAACTGGTAAGTTCCTAATTATTGTTGATCCATACAAGACTATTTCCGTTATAAATGATGAAAACCCCAAACCAAACTAACCTGTTGTTCCTGTTAGACATGGCATGCAGCTGTAACGAAAATAGTGAAAGTAGTTTGTAAATAACTAAGGTTTGGGAAGCATTCCTACAGAGCAAGGTGGAGAATGTGGTTAGCAAAATAGGTTGGAATAACATTGACGGTCTCCTGTGCTAGGCTGGGAGCAGTTTGAACTTCAGCACAAGGATGATTTTTGTATACTTAAAAACCTTTTCCAGCCATATAAAAATATAGGGGATAATGGATACCCTGTACTACCTACCATTGTGTATGAGGGGCAAAAAATTGCATACCTAGTGGGGTGTATTTACCTTTCTCCGATCCTTTTCCTTTCTCTCCTTCTCAGAGGTAACCGCTCTGTGGACCCAGTGTGTCATATCCAGTCTTAGTTACCTCGTGCCATCTACAGAAAACACAAGTGGGCGGCTTTGATAAACACATCCCTCTGTCACAGTTTGGGAGGCAGGACGCCCCTATTCCTGGCGCCTGCTCGAGGGGCTCTTGCTCTGTCTCTGCCAGCTCTGAGGGCACATTCTTGTTCTCGCTGGTCTTCCTGCGGCATGGCATCCATTTCCCCCATCTCTGCCTGCTGCTTCCCTTCGCCTCATCTGCTCTTTTTATATCTCAAAAGAGTTCGACTCAAGGCATTCCCTGTACTAATCCTGTCTCATCAACCAAGAAAGCCGCCTACAGATATAGGGGACAGGATTTTGAGCACATATTTGGACAGGAGAGGGGCACAATTTGACCCATAACCTACTGTGTAAGGGTAGTGGTGATTCAGCTGTGAATTCTGAGCTTCCATGTGGGAGTCCTTGGTTCCCCTCCTGATCAGTTGACAGCCACTGCCCACTGTCAGTAGAGCCTTGAGCGCTGCTATAATGCTGACCAGCTCTCAGTGAAGATTCCACAGTAAGACAAGTTGGGAAGGAAGACCTCACGAGAAATCAATGATTGAAAACCTCAGGACCCCATTGGGCAGGGGTCACCATGATTTGGAGCTATCTCAGTAGCAGGTAACAACAATGACCATAAACAACATATATTGTTTTATATGATTTCTTTATATATAAAAATATAGATCCTTCCATGACTTTTTAATTTAACATTGAGTTAGAAATTTTATCCTTAGCAATCTCTGTGGGTCTAATTTATTCATTTACACTGCTGACTAGTAGTCCATTGTATGATATGCTACCATTTGATTATACTTTTTTAAAAGGTTGATGACCAGAGAGTCTGCTTCAGTTTTTAATTACAAATTATGGATAAGAATATTCCTTTACTTACAACTTGTGCGTGTGCCATACAGTAGTAGAATTAGTGGGATGCAGGACTTTCAGGTTTGCTACGCTCTTTTCCCTCCCTGCCATCGCTTCAATTCCCACTCAGCTTCACCCTAGAGAACAGAGCGAACTGCTCCTCGGGGTTTCTGAAACAAAATCTTTTCAGGAGCGAACAAGTTCGTTCTTCTCCCAGTTAGGGTTGCTAGACGTTGTCAAATGCTCTCTGAAGCGATCATACCAAGTAGTGTGTGAACATTTGTAATGATTCTAATTTTT